AGTGTCTTTCCTAAGGTAAGGAGCCCAAGACTGAACATAATATTCTAAATGTGGCCTAACCAGTGACCTGTACAATGAAATTACAACCTCTTTAGACTTGTATTCAATATTTCTATGCATGAAAACGGTTTTGTTTTAGAACAAAAAAACACCATGAGAAATATGTAAGTGTAAAAATATAGCAGGAAGAATAATGTGAACAATTGTATCCTGTATTCAGGAAATAAGGAAATAAGATTTTTTTTTTTTATTTAAGAAAATGAGAATTTCCAATTGAAGAAAAAAAAAAAAAGATATTATCATCAAAGGTTCTCAGAGTTGGATTCTAGGTGTCCCTGTTACTAAGATATCAGACAGATGGCCAGAGTGGTTAAAGTAAGTTCCATACAATGATCCAGATTCTCTGATTGGAACCTCAAATTGTTATAGTGTCTTTTGGAACACTAGCAGATCAGTCTTGATATCCTCGTAACTTATATTAGTGGATTGCTTTCATTTTCTTCAGATGGTGACCTTGAAGTATGAGCACAAGCCTGTAGCTTCTGTGAAGTTTGATTGTAAATTAATAAAACAAATATAATGCAGAAAGAGTTATTATGTAAATTCTTCTTAGAAATATGGGATGAGATTACCGAGGTACTTGGTCCGAAGACGAAACAATGTACTTAGTGTTAGGTTTATAATATAACATTTAAGGACAAGAAGGGTCCTGTTGGTCAACCTTGACTATCCCATCCACTAAATTAAACTTAAAGAAAAAAAACATTCAAAGCCAGCCCTTATTATTCAAATATTTATCAATCCTTCTCTTAAAGCCCACACCACACTAGAAGACAGCCCATTCCAAAGGACAACTTCTTTTGCCAAAATTATATCACATCTCCTCAAACTTTTCTCTTTTCAAGAGAAAACAATCTCTCTTATCTCAACCCGTTCTCATACGACAATCTTTCCATCCCGGGTATCATCCTAGTAGCCCTCCTTTAAACCCTTTCCAACAATTCAATATCCTTTCTAAGGTAAGGAGTACAAAACTGAACACAGCACTCGAAATGTGATCTAAACAATGATATTATAACTCTTTTTAGACTTGTATTCAGTATTTGTATGGATAAATTCTGTTAGCCCTACAACTGGCAACAGCATACTGTAGTTGTGTATGGAAGTACATATGCTAATGTAAGAGTAAGTTGACAATTAATGATTTATAAACATAATGAAGTGGTTTTATTTTGGGGAACATACACCATGTTTCAACAGAAGAAGATGGATCAATATCCAGAACTATCTAGATCAGCCAATCACAACAGCTGGCCCATTAGTTCATGGGATTTCTTTAAAACCAGACACAACGCTCATACGTAAATTGTAATGGATTTTTAGTTGTCTGATAGTTTTGAGGCAACGAGTCAGTATGGGTGAGAATGGGAAATGCTAAATGGTTTAGCTTATCTTGTAAGTGAGTGTTAAGAGTTAACATTTTAATTGACTTGTTTGTATATAGTACTTTTTTCTTTATAGATAAGATGGGAGAAAAATATAACACTAGGAGAACCACCAGGATTTCTACATTCATGGTGGTGGTAAGTGCTTCCTTTTTGTATAGTTACACAGATTTTATGGTCGTCGTAAGTGTAGTTACACAGAATTCTGTACAAATACATATCTGAAAGAGAAAGATTTTTATTTTGTTTTCAATGATTTAGATTCAATATTTCAATCTGAGTAAAGTCAGCCCAGTAAAGAAACAATGCCGTGTTTAAACATAGTAAAGTCAGCCCAGTAAAGAAACAATGCCGTGTTTAAACATAGTGAAGTCAGCCCAGTAAAGAAACAATGCCGTGTTTAAACATAGTAAAGTCAGCCCAGTAAAGAAACAATGCCATGTTTAAACATAGTAAAGTCAGTCCAGTAAAGAAACGATGCCGTGTTTAAACATACTAGAGTCAGTCTAGTAAAGAAACAATGTCGTGTTTAAACATAGTAAAGTCAGTCTCATAAAGAAACAATGCCGTGTTTAAACATAGTAAAGCCAGTCTAGTAAAGAAACAATGTCGTGTTTAAACATAGTAAAGCCAGCCCAGTAAAGAAACAATGCCGTGTTTAAACATAGTGAAGTCAGCCCAGTAAAGAAACAATGCCGTGTTTAAACATAGTAAAGTCAGCCCAGTAAAGAAACAATGCCGTGTTTAAACATAGTAAAGTCAGCCCAGTAAAGAAACAATGCCGTGTTTAAACATAGTAAAGTC